AAACATCGATAACAATTTTCGGACACCGACATCTCTCCCAGAAAAGGGAATCCCAACTTGTCGCAGTTGGTTGCCCATTTTGGGCCCTGGACCTTGGCCCCAAAAAAAGGGGGCGGGTCCAAGGGGGCGAGGATGGCGCGTGTTTCGGTTCATTCCTTCCTCGCCGCTGGAAGTCGAGATGTCAAAAAGAGAAAAATGTTTGACAAATAAACAGTTGCGAGCGGCCAAATTGCCTGCAGTTATTGTTTTGCCGTCTTGGCTGGAACCTTCGTTTATGATGTCCCCGGGCACTTTTGACCTTTTTGCCAGGAATCGCATCAGCTTGTGAATACGAATGGTATATATTCTTGTTATCACATCATTTCCCCGGTACCTGTCAATGTTTTTTATGGCATTTGCAAAAAATAAAAGTGTGCCCGGTGCGCCCCTGGGCAAATTGTGGGGTCAGGTTAGAAGGTCTCTGCTGCTGACCCGTCGTTAGCTTATCTTGGGTCTACATCGCGCAAGGTGCTAATGTGACAGCTACTTTTACTCGGCTGTGGCTCATTAGTTGACTCTGCAAATATTTCATAATTCATTTCCATTTCGACCGCAGAGTCATTTATTTAAGAGCTTCCCCCCCGCCCGGCGTCTTTCGTCCTCCTTTCCGGTATTCGTCACTTGCGGCTTCGATGATGATGTATGGCCGGATCGAACTCCCTGATGAAATGCGGTTGCCAGCCGAGTGGAATGCCCCACGAAATTGGTAAATCTTCTTCGTCGTGGGCAATTAAATAATGATTTAATACAAGCCCGAAGATTAATAGGCAAATTATTTAAAGTGGAGAGGTCAACAAGAATTTGGCAATATTTACTATTGCGGTTTGAAAATAATTTCAAAGATTTATGGGTTTATTGACAAGCTGCAATATAAAAGTGTTAAAATGTATGGTAAAAAAGAAATAAATAATTACTTTAACTACCAAGTAAAATTTAAATATTTTCTTAGCCTTAGCAACGTAAATTTGAATTTTTATTTTATAATTTGAAAGTTAATATTCAAGAGACTGTTATGTGAAATGACTTTTGAAATACATATATTATAAATTGGAAACTTAACTGAAAAATACCAATTAAGGTTTTCGTCTGGTTACAGAATATAAAATATTTTTTAATTGAATTGATGTTTCAGCTTTTTTTCCGAAAGATAATTAAATTGGGCATTTCATAGGAAGAACTTCTTTCTTCAGGGCTATACAAAACACTCCCCATTTTTAAAGCAAATTATTTTTTAAACGAAATCCCTTGAAAGGCATTCATTCCTAACTTGATTAAGCTTCCGTTAATTTGTGGATACGATTCAGCAGCAGAGGAACTGCTTATTGTCTGAGTTAATAAACGGTTTCAGACCCACTCTCAACGCCGTCTGAACCCTTTCGGCTTACTTCTTCATCAACTGCTCTAGTTGTCCTTTGGCAACGACAAACTGCGCTTAAACTTTCTGGCTTTTGTTATGCCCGAGAATCCAGTCGACTCGAACCCGGTTGGCAAATATGGCCCATAGCCATAATTACTATATGTATGGCTGCCCCGGCTTCGGCGGCGTCTGCAACATTTATAAGTTTATCGTCTGATTGCCGTCGTCCGACGACCTGGATGGGACCGGATTGGATTGGGTTCGGATCGGATCGGAACAGTAGAGTGAAGTGGAGGGGAGAAGCTGCTGCAGAAGGGCTGTCAAGACTGGCGTCTTGCGTGTCCTTTGTGCATTTAACGGCTATTCGAAGGCAAAGGCAAACGCAGACCTGCCTATAAATTAACTAAATTGTTGCAAAATTGTTTGTGGAAATGATGAAATTATTATAAATGCCCGGCTTGCCAAAAACGATCTAAGCGAAGTCAATAAACTGACACCAACAGCAGTCAGTTCATTTAATATACATTAATGTGTTTCCTCTGCTTCTCGCTCGTTTGCTCGTTAATTTGTGAATAATTACACATAATTTGCTTAAAATAAGCCAGCAGACAAATTTTTCCGCATGCTAACCTGGCGCAAAAAAAAAAAAAAAACCCAACGACGAAAATACTCGAATTATTTATGCATAAATATATGTATATATCCGCCCCGCGGGGCGAGGATGGGGTTGCGAGCCCACAAAATTATGCATTACAAAAGCGGTTAAGTCCTCTCGGAAGCCGGCCATAACACCTCCGTACAGACTGGCAGGATTCAGGATGGGATGGCGATGGCGATGGCGATGGCAAGGTAGACATGACTCCGGGGCAGAGCCATATTCATATGCATGTTGCTACGATAATAATGATAAAGGAAAAGTTTGCCAGACAGCGCCGCTAGTGGGAGTGCCTCACCTTCAACTTCTGCATCGGACTCGCCCCTCAGGATATATTGTACGTTATGGTTGTGTGCGTGCGCCTCCGTGAAAGGACTCAGGTAATTACCGTGTTTGGGGTTGCTTTTTGGGGCTGCTCGGGATCGGGATCGGTCTTTTTATGCATAAATTTTCGGCTAAGGAAGGCGCGTGCCAAATCAGTGTTTACACTTTTATTTGCTTTGCGGTCGAGTTGAGAGGGGAGGAAAATGCGGAGTTCAGGGTTAGCCAAAGACATAACTTTGCTGCCCAATGCGACCCCGGAAAAGGCAGATATTTTTGAATAATGTCTAAATTAAAGCTCAATCTTTGTGAGGGAGTGCAAAGAATAACTTGGGCTTCGACAAGGAGTTCTGTGGTGTTAAGTAAAGTGTTAATTTGATTTGGGAAGACATCTATATTGAAGATAATGTCACGGCTAAAAAAAATTGTATTTAGGCAAAATAGACAAAACGCACGGACTGCAAACAAAAAGTCTTTGTCCATAATTATTTTATTAGAAGTGTAAAAAATTAGTACATTAATTTAAATTATTTATAGGTTTAGTTAGTTTTAAGGTCCACTTCTTTCTTTAAGTCACCTCATTCCAAAATTGAAACCCTATAAGAAAACCAGGCAGAGAAGTTAAGATGCCCGCATGTAGCCACCCCTTTTGCAGCACTTCATCCCCAGCAGAGATAAAAATGCCTGCGGGAGAAAGTCGATTGGAGAAAAGGGCGACAGGTCCCAAAGCGGTTCGGCAAATTGATGCCCTTTGGATGGGACTTCCTTGCAGTTCCTGCCGAGCAATGCAAATTCGAATGCCATCTCAATTCGGTCTGGTTTGGTTTGGTTTTTGGCGGGGAAAACCGCTACCTGAGAGAAGGAGTTGGAGAAGAAAACTCACCCCGTTGCTGAAACCTTGGCTATAATTTGTGGGCTTTGGCTGCCTGGAGGGCGTCTTATTTATAGCGGGGCTTTAATATCAATGTAAGCCCTCCCAAACCCCGCTTCGTACTTATTGATACAAGTTGGCTTTGACTTCCGGGCTTTTTATTTCCACCTGTGCGAGGGTTTGCTTTGCTTTTGGTTAAGTATAAGTACCAAAGAGTATATATCTTGTATGGGCGCATTTTTGTGGTTATAATCGGATTTTATTGCAAATTAACGAGCCACCCTCTGCCTCCCCGTAAAGTTTACTCACCCCTTACTCAGTATAATATTTCAAGCGCTCTGTAAGTCCTTCTGCCGCTGTTGTCTTTAGCTTGGGTTATTTATACGATTTTTATTACCTTCATTCGGCCGCAGTTGCTGTCTCGTTCTGATTCCCATTTCCATTCCCATTCCGATCCTGCGGTTGTTAGGCAGGTGCTCTCCGGCTCCCCCGCCCCCAGGCACTTCATTATCCTGGTGGAAAAGTTGCTCCTTACTCCCCGGCCCTTTATTAGCGTTAGTCTTCGTCGAGTTGCATTTATTATTATGTGAATTTTGGTATTTCTTCGATATTAATTTGTTGCTCCTGCCGCGTGTTCCTTTTAGTGGCCTCTCAATATTCATTAGTGCTTTGATTTGTTATGGTTTCCCTTTGGCTTATGGCCCCCCAGAACTCCTCTCAGCCGCTCACTCTTTGATATCAGTTTTTGTGTTGTTTTTATTGCCACAAGTATTTTGATTGCTGTGCAAAGAGGTTTATTCATTGGGACTGTGTGATTTGGGCCTCTACTATTACGCCAGCGAAAAGCGACTACAACATGTTGAACTAGTTTGGCTGCAGCTGCTAGACGCCCCGAGTTTCAATATTTTTCATGTTACAGACCATTTTTTCTGAGAGGATTACCCTGCCTTAATTGAATTCGTTCATTCCCAACAGGGGGCTTGCAATGAAATAAGCTAGAAAATGTAAATATCAAAATTTTATTGCTAATTCTAATATTAGTGTATAAATTCTTCAGATTGCAAAATAATTTCATATACATAGTAATTTTTTTAAAATCATATAGGTTAAAAAAGAATTGACAGATTGTACATCGTAAAATTTTTTAGTAGCTATTTTTTCAAACAAAAAATACATTTATTTGAAATGAATTCTGAAATACAACACATTGGAGACCAAAATCATTAGAAAATGTTAACAATTGATGTGCTAAAATATAGAACAACGAGGCTAACACAGCTTTTTTAACACTGGTATACATTTTTGGAAGAGTATTTCACATTTTAAATGAACGACTCTATTTCGATCTGGCATTTTTCGGTGGCCAGGCGTTGGTCGCCGTTGATTTTCATTTAATTACCGAACCAAATTTCCGACACTTTAAACGATGGCGGCATAAAATAATTGCAAGTGCTGAAAACATTAAGAAACCGGCTTGCAGCCCCAACTTTATGTGGCTTTGGCTGCAGCTCCAGCTCCAGCTTCAGGTTCGGTCTTAGCTCCAGTTTCAGTTTCAGTTGCCACTCCGGTTGTTGGCCAGCTCGATCGTTCGTTGGCTTTTTGAGTTGCAGGCGCGACTTTCGTTTTCGTTTTTTCTGCTGCTGAGTTGCTGCTGCTGTTGCTGTTGTTGCTGGTGCTGCTCCTGCTGTTGCTGCTGTGCTGCCGCTTTTGCTGCCAATTGTAATTGAATTTTGTGTTGTCGGCAAAGTGGCAACCGTCAGGCAACAGCGGCAGCAGAATGGTGGCCTGGCCAACAACCGACAGCAAAAAGGAAGCAATTTCAGGCTAAATTTAGTTTAAATGCCTACCCCTTCGCTCCCGACTGGCTAACTGACTGACTGACTGTCGTCGTCGCCGACTTTTTGCAGGAATATGCCGCCTGCTGTACAGTGTGTGCTCGCTTTTAGAGCCGCTGCTGCTGCCGGCTGGCATTATGCTTAGTTTGGAATTCAATTAACTTGAATTTGTTGCACTGGCGCGACGTGATTTCATTTTTCCCGATGCACTTTTCAAAGCACCAGTCCTCGCTCCGATGATTGTTTTTTATGGAAGCTAATGAGTGCTAGCTCCGTTGGCGCAGCTCGATTTCAACAATTACGAGAGCGTTTTGTGCCCATTGCTAAAAGAAATGGATTATAATTGTGCACGAGAAAAACTAATGTTTTCCATGTTTTATTTTTCGTTTTGCAGCACAAAAAAAAAATTGAGCTTTTTACAATTGCTCATGAAAAAATAATGGCATAGGTGATAAAGAAATAACACGGCTATTAAACCGTTGTTAATTGAAAGCGAAAATAATAGAAAGTTAATTTAAATAAAATGGCTGAACTAAGAGTGTCATAAAATATTTATTCTCATATATTGTTAGGTTGAGCAATCGGACAGGAAAATGGACCAATGGACCCTTGTAACATATCTGTTTGTGGTCAATGTTTTTCAAACCGCCTTCGTAGGTGCGTATACAGTATATATATATATCTTTTATAAAACATTTCGATTTCCGACAGGTGGATGGGGACAAAATTAAGGATATGTGCCTCGAAAAGGTGGGATTGACCCCCGAAGAGCTTAGAGCCCGGCATCGGACGGAAATTCCAAACCCCAATGTCAAGTGTTTCTTGAAATGCTTTCTTGAGAACATTGGAGTTATCGCTGGCAATGCGATTATACCTGGTGGGTTTGCCAAGGTTCTAGGCCCCTTAGTTACCGATGAAGCCGTTGAGCGAATGGAAACCGAGTGCCACGTGGTCGAGGCGGATCCAAATGAAGAGGACCCTTGTGAATTCGCCTGGCTTATGTCTTCGTGCTACGAAAGATTGACTTTATCAGACCTTCGGCAAAAGCTGTGAGCGAAACGACGCAGGACAAAAACGCGACGGAGAAGGCGCACGGGGTAGTGATGCTTACTAACTTATAAGAAAACGAGTTCTAGTATCTTGTAACAATTTCTTTTTACCACTTAATTACGCCACTGTACACAATTACTTAATATAAAACAGATGAAATACAAACTAACACATCTTTATAATACTTTAGATTTAATAGTTACGAATTGTTTGCATATATACAATACTTTACAATTAATATATATAAATATACGTAATGCAATACGTTTTGTGTCCAGGCCTGGCAAAAACTGATTTGATTTGTGTTACTTTTACAAAGCGACAAAAATCCTTCCAGCATTCTGTCAAATTCGGAAAGTAGAGAACATTCCTTATTCAGATCGTCGATTTCAATCGTTGCATGGTTTTGCCATTTTTGCGAAAAAGCTTCTAAGCGCTCTTTAATCGAACCAAAGTCCCTGCTCGAAAAACTGTAAAGTGTAACTGCAAACTGCTCGCCCTCCAGCAAACTCCTACATCTGGACAGTATAATCCCAGCATATGGCAGGATGAATGCGGAATGGGTCCAAACTGAAACTGTTTGTTGTTGACGCTCGGGCTTAGAGCTCATTACAATTTTCAAGTACATTTGCGCTGATAGTTACACCCAACCAACTTCCATGTGCGCCATGCAGACAGACAAGCCCTCGAAACATATACTATGCAAATATAGCACAGATACGGAAAACTCCACTCGACTGAAGGAGAAAACCCAGGCGGAAGGCAGAGAGAGATTTGGGGAAAATCCAAACCCTCCAGCGGAGCAAACACTTGCCCAGGCACAAATGTCTGCTGACCATTAAATTCACTTCACTTCATTTAAATCTGAAGCATTGCTGGGCGAGACTTCTGCGGACATCCCAGGGCCATGCCTGTTGGTAAAAGTTTTTCAATAACACAAGAAGGCGGCTGGCTGACAACTGCAAATAATAGTTTGCCTCTCCAACGGCATTGGAACATTTCTTTCGAGATTCCCTTACAGATTAAGAGCTTGAGCTCTGTCATCCAAATCTTTAACGTTCTTGAAATGCCCAAAAATGTAATGGTAAGTTATAAAAAATTGTCAAATTACCGAAAATAACTATTGCTAGGTAAATATTAGTTGGTATACATTTTTTTTTTAATTTGGCCTCATTTACAACACAAAAGAACTAAATAAAAAAAAAGACTTTTTAAACGTGCAATTATTAAAGCCACAATAATAAAATAATAATAAAAAACTGCTGAAAAAGTATTCAATGTTCGGTTTGTCAATAAAATTTTCTAAGTTTTATTTAGACAACTGTTCGCTGACGCTGGCAACTTTCGATGGGGCTTTCAAAGGCCTCGTCCACTCGAAATTCGAATCCGCTCCTCCCCCTAATTTGCTTTGACTTTGATGCATTTATACTAAAATGCAGCTGAGTCACACCGGTCCATACTGATTCGTTGGCCGAATCGGTTTCATTTGTGACCTGCATGTCCTGGAATGCAAATTGCTCCTGGCCGGCAGACGATTTGGCCCTCGGGCCTCCATATGTCCTGCCCGAAAACCGCAAAACCAAATTGATTTTGTCTACTCAAGCCAGAACATCAGTGCTCTGTACTGGCAGCTGCAGCTCAACGCAACAGAACGCAGACGGCGCCAATTTTCATTACGCATCTGGAGCACTGCTCATATGGCATTAGGAATTACGCATACGACCCATTGTCCCCGGCCGGACAATTGAGTTGGCAGCATTGTTTGGACACTGGGCAGTCGATGTATGCATGTAAACATAATCAGTATTTGCAAATACAGGAGTGCATTGGGATGCGATGGTTCGGATGCGAAGTGAATTCCCGGCAATAAATGCCACTGCAGCAGAATGGAATGGAGATGAGGTGTGTGGGTTATGGGATTATGGTCCGAATTACAAAAGGGTTGGACCCACCCACCCAAACTATTCCATTGTAGTGTCGGTGATGTTTGATTATAATCAATCTAATCTAACCGAAATACAACGTACTCAGCAGGAATTGACGGTCTAAAATTTCCTATCTCATGCTGAATTCAACAAATTGGATTGCGCTCACCAATTGTGTAGCTACTGCAATTTGGGGAGCGATTCAATGTTCGCCTTGAGGTAGCAATTACCAAATTGCTTCGGACAGCCGCAGTTCAAAGGCAAAAGATCCACTGAGATGCGATCCGATTGCTAAGAGGGCCCACCAGCTGCTTCCTCTGTGGCAAATGAAAACAAAACAAAAAAACAGTTGGCCAAATCGGAGAGATGCGATGACAAGTCGGGCGACAATCGAGCTTACACAAAACCAAACGAACTCAATGGGGAACAAATGACAAATTTTTAATGCCTCACGAAACAAAACGTTGATAAGATCAGCGACTGCCGCGCAAACAAGACAAAGCGAAAAAACAGCCCGAACAAAGCGCTGCGAATCCCAATCCCCGAAAATAATAAAAAAAATAAAAAAAAAAAACACACAACAAAACAAACAAACGGATGACAACGCTCCGAGGACGAGGATCTCAAGATCTCGGAGCGCTGATTTGGGAATTAAACACGCGCGAATAGGAATCAATGACGGACTACCTGCTCATTCGGGATCGCTGCAGGGACCTGGATAAATGGATGGATGGTCGGATGGCTATTATGGCAGACAGACGGCGCACGGTCGAGCACACATTTGAGATTTTTGTCAACAGGATTCGGGATTCTGCACAGGGCGTGCAGAAATAAAATTAGTAGAATACGCCAAGCACTCAAGTCGCTAGAAAAGAAAAACATTTTGAAAGGACAAACACACTCGAAACGCGAGCAGCCCAGCAGCGAACGACCAAATCATCTGGGGTAGCTGTTGCAGCTCTTTGGTATGGTGGCCCTATGCCCGGGTAGTTGTCATCATTTGTTGATTTTCATTCTGCTCCGTTTCTGCTCCTTCGCCGCACCGCCTTGTAAAAAATCCTTTAAGTGCACTCCAGAGCACAATGCACTCGCCTCCGTCAGCCGAGTGTCCCATCTAGGTTCCGCTCGGCGACTCTTTTTCCAGCCATCCATTGTGCCCGGCATGCCTCGTCATCAGCCATCACCCTGGATTAGCAGATATTTAAATCGATGCCACAGCTGTCTTCATACTCGACCTTTGTCGTTTACGATACGTCCGATAGTTGGTTTAAGTGAATTAGACAAATATCTTTTAAAATACAAGTACAGAAACTTAGCACTTGATTGATTAAAATAATACCATGCCGAAGTTATGCCACTGTACTTTATATTTGTCACTTAAACATTTCAATATATAATTTTCCATAATTATCTGGCGCCAAAATGCCCTCAGTCTCATTTGTGGAAGGGCTCCTTCCGATGCCCTGCTAATTTACAATTTCAATGTCACGCTTCGAGCAAGTGACGATAAATTCGCACGACTCGCACAAAACCCGAGATTCTGGGGGACGCCTCGCATCGCTGGTTTCTTGCACTTAGTGAAATTACATGGCTGCCAGGACTTGTTGATTGCCCCGTAGCTCCGCAGGCTAAATTTAGCATTATTAAAAAATTAAGCTGACAACATTCCGTTGTCATCCAGACCGAGGAGGACATTGGGAGGAGAACAGTAGCAGACTATCGAAGTGCCGATCTGGCGAGGAAGTGAAACCAAAAGGGACTCCGAAGTGCGTGCGTCATGTGGCAGGGTCACTTACTTTAATTCCTAGGTGCCGCCGTGGCAGGGGCAATGTGAAAATGTGCCCCAGACTCTGGGCCACATGCCTTCGCCTCTCCTCCGTCTGATTAATTGCAATTCGGTTTTTTTCGAGTTATGAGCAAGGCCAGAGACGCACGCTAAATTAAGTGAAATTTTTCATCCACATTTAATTACGCTAATGATCTGGGAGTAGGTTCCACTCCAGAAGCAGTTGCTGCCACTTATTAATCGAGCAGGGGCGGCATGCGTACCCGAAAAACAAACTACTATAGTACTCCCGACTAATGCTCCTTCCGCAGCTGCCAGACTAAGAAGAATTTCCCTCACTTTCAGCTGGTCGTATACCTCCACCCACTGAAGCGGGCGAGCCAAAGTCCCAGTGTCGAGACCCAGACGTGATTACCAGTCGCTGGAGTAGTGAAAAGTACACGAGTTGTAAGTCAAACTGACACTGAAGATTATGGTTTATGTCGACAAAGTTGACACGTTGTTTATCAAAAATGCAAGTCAAGGACTTTGTGTCCGCTGGAGTCGTGAGCCAGCCAGCAGAACAACAACATTGTTGTGTTGTGTTGACGGATGCATGGCAAGTGCAAGACAAAGGCCCAGACCCAGTGGATCCAACTAGATGCAACTGCATCCAGCGACACCCCACAAGGGCCAACAAACGGAAAGGAAACAAACCGTCGGATAAGCGCGGACTTTCGGGAGCGAAGATTTTCCAGGGGGACTTGTGACTAGTGACTTGTAGTGCGTGTGTCTTACAAACTGTTGTAATTAATTTGGTTTCTTCTCGCGGGGCTGCTTCGAATGGAGTCGAGATAATGCCAGGTCTGAGTGCATTATGTTCTGCTTAAAGTCGTTATAAATCACAGACCCGATCTGTGGACACATGAGTGATTATTTGTGCTCCGATTGACGGGCGCGAGATATCAGACATTAATTAGATATAGTTCTTATAGCTACTTGCTATATGTTGGTGCAAAAGAATCGTCTTGTCTTATTAAACAGATGCTCAAATTTGAGGTTTTAAAAATACATTTAACGTAATATCCTATTTTTATATCATATGTTTCACTGATTTTTTATGGAATATTTAAAACTGATCTTGACTTGTCATGGGAACATTTATTTAAATGTAATCTTTTAATTCATCAAAGCACTGAAAATAATAATAAATATATAATACTATCAGCAAGGTCTTAGATTTTCTTTAAATTTAAAAATCTGTTGAGGAATTTGTGGGTGTTTGGTTGACAACTTCCAAAAGTAAGTACTTGCAAAATACAGTAATTAATTATATATTTTTAAAAACACTATATTTGATGTGATACTTAAAAACCTTAGAAAATAAATACATTAAATAAATATTCATTAAGTTAATTTGA